ACAATCTAGCCGCGCGCAACGCGCTATCATTCGTCAATCCTTTTTAATTAATATCTCAATTATATTATTACAACAATTGCAAAACGGTAAAGAACTTCTTTCCGCGCTCTATTTCCACACGAGCGGTTGGACGAACATTATGAAACACGCTGTATATGTATCTTGAATATAATTAAAATTATAGTTTTATTTCTATACGTACTTCACTTGTGCAGTATATATCGTTAAAGGGAAATAATCCATCACTGAGATGTAAATGAACTTTTCCGCTTTGTCAATGCAGTGCAAGATCGCATCTAAATCGTTGCTTCGGCCTTTCGGCGAAAATGGCGGAGGTGAGCTCTGAAATATTTTATATCATATTTTTCAATAGAATAACAATTGTATTGTAACGGATATAATATAGAGAATGATACTAACCGCAATAAATAATTTGTACTTATTATCCATATATGTAAAATTCATAGGATTATCTATATTTATTTTTGTGCTGAGAGAATCTGGCCATGTGGAAGGCACTTTACCATCTTCACCTAACTTCCAGTACACCTGTGGCGTTAAAAAAAAATCGACTAATTGTATGAGAAACGTATTATCTTAAATATAGGAAGTATAATTATATTTGCGCGTTTTATGATTGATATAAAAGATTTATAACATTGTACTTACATCAAATATTTTGGCATAATCATTCGCTAAACAGGAGCAGTTTAGGGCTACCAAACCGAGTTCTTTTACATGCGAAAGGGATCTCCAATCCATATTTGCTGATCCGACGTACACGTGAGTACGATCAATGAGCCACAGTTTCGTATGAAGTACACCGCCGCCCAATAATCCAGCGAAATTTAAACTCCTCACCTTTAATTGGATAAGAATATTTATTTGTTCTTATAATTACAAAAAAATATAAAAAATAAAATAAAATATTCTTTTCATTTATTTTTAAAAATAAAATTTATTATTAACTAAACTGTAATTTACTGAAAAAAATGTATAAAGTTACATGAGCGATAAATCTCAGCATCTACTTCATCAAAATGTCTGCTGTAAAGAAATTACCTGTGCGTTAGCCTTTTTGGCTAAAATTTGTGTATCGATGTTCGGAGACAAGCGAGAAGGAATATTCTGCGCAATCTTTAACACAATTTGCCTGTCTCTTCCGGCTTCTAAAAGCGACTGGAATACTTGTTCACCCTACAATTATCGTTTCATTTTTATACTTGTTGATGAATTGATTTATTTTAATTAGACGATTTCTATGTCTCATATCGTAACACTGTAACATGTATTACTTACCTCTTTAGCACTGTCATCGGGAAACACATCTTCTCTTTTCATCGTCCAATAAAGCGATGCGATTTCAATGGTATCCTGCGCCATTCCGATAAGATTCATCCAGGAATCATAGATAGTCTCGTGTTGCGCAGCATTATTGCTGTAATTCATTCCTATAGGTATAGTTTCAACCAAGAATATATTGCAACGATTCATGCACATTGATTCCGAGTCCAATGCAGTGGAATTTAGCGCGTACTTGTCCGCTGCGTGATCCAACAGTGGCAACAATACGACCAGGACAATCAAAACCAGTATAATCGTTATCGGTATGCAACTGGGTCTGCACCAACCTTGCGCACCCCATCTGCAATAAAATAATATCCGTTTCTCATGCAATCATTATAATAACACTTTTTTATGCAGCCTGAAGGCCTTCAAAGTTCAAATAGGCGTACAATTTTGCGTAATATTTATTCTATATCTCTATATTTAGTTTTTCCAAAATTAAGTGTAAAAAAAATGACAAAAATTACGAATTTTTGATTTGCAAAATAATAATTTATTTAAGAGTTTTTTTTTCACTTTATTTTTGTTTAAGAAAAAAAATATAATTTTCGAAAAAATATCATTTTTGTTAGATTATTTTTATACAGTTAACAGAACTGAGAAATGTTTGATTATATTTTGAAAACTCGTATTATCACAGATATATACTGAGAACAATTAAGATATAAAGACAAATTGCTAAAAAAAAATTGAATAAAAAACTTTAAATTTGATAATTTTTTGCGAAATCACAATGCTTTATAGATCGTCGTTTTTTAAAGTAATTTAACTTGAGACCTTAATTGTTGCTTTCAGCGTATATCCTGCTCTAACATTTGAAATGAAAATATTTGAGACGTACTTTGTATTCGTAAGATGATCATCCACGTCGCTCCTCAACATAAACCCGGACTGGTCCCACAATTCTAGGTCGTCATCGCCGCCTGGAGAGTTCACGTCCAATCGCGCGTTTTCGGATACAGTCTGCAAACAATCATGTGTGTCATGCACCACAAAAGATTACAAAAACACTGCAAAAATATTTCAAAATTCCAAATATGTTGCAAAATGTAGATGTAAAGATAGAACACATTGAAAAATTTTGTGATTTTTAACGAATTCGATTATCCAAAATACATTTAATACACAAAAAATTTGCTTCACTACCATTTCTGCATCAAGTCTCCAAGTAAACATGCATTTGGATTTTATCTCAATAATAAGATAAGAACTGTGGACTTTGTTACTCACTCGAATGCGAAACAAGAAAAAAACTCAATTAATCGAAAGTATATAAAAACGTATAAGAATAAAATATGGGGAAAAATTTTTAATTTTAACGTTTATGTATCGTAAATCTTTTCTAAAATACAAAATTACGATTTTATTATAATAAGTATCTGCTTTATTTTATAAAAAAAATTTTTCAGCAATTATTGATTTTTATTAAAAATAGATATTGAATAATAGGCACATAAGTTTCTCGTAAACGTCAAAATTAAATAAAAATTGTAAAATAATTTTTTTATATACCAATTAATTCTAAATACTTTTTCATTATAATGTAAAAAATTATCTTGTTTAGACAAAAAACCTATATAAGAAGTAAGGGCGAAGGACAGGTCAGAACAAAATTGGAGCAGATCAATAAGTAAGGTACAAGTACGAAGCCATAAATGAAATAGATTTTACATATTGTGAGTTTCATGGACTTTTGATCTGTGTTCTTCGCGTGATAGCAGCGTAAATTTGTACATTTAAATTCGGCAATTAAGACTTACCGACAATTTGTGCTTGAGGCGCGGTGCTCTATTTTTGCGGTGCGGCAATAATACCACCACATCTTGATCCTTCCCTCTCGGAAACGTTTTGGCAGCATTCGCCTCTTTCGTCGATGACGATGTCGTCGGTGCGACGGAACTATCGGTCGTGGAATATTTCGAATACGCAACATTGTTCACATTGTTGCTACCTCCATAAGAAACATTGTGCGTGTTATTCACCTTAACAAAGAAATAAGCATCACATTTTTATTACTCTTTTTAATCAATAAACTTTATTTTCAATTAATTAATTTATAAGTTAGATGCTAAAAAAATTAAAGATAATATTTTTGTTAATATCAGAATTATCGATAGCTTTCTTTTGAAATTTATGAAATTTTAAATAAAATACTTCTGTGAATTTAACTTTAGAGATGCAAATAACAAAATTCTCTTTCCTAATTAACTTTAAATAAACTTTATATTATTAAAAAATTTTTAATTCAAAAAATTTAGCAATATTTTTTGCAAGACTTTTGCAAGGTTCAAAAATAAAATTAAGCTACATTTGAATTTTTATTCAGATAAGTCAACCTCGGATATATAATTTCGCAAGTACGAAGAAATTTGAGATGTGCTGCTGATAACTTGCTGCGTTATGTGTATATGTATATGTAAACAATTTTTTATTCTATTTGTTGTGAAAAACAAATAAGAAAAAATCTGTTTAAAATGAAACATACACGTGCAATATCAAACATCAATTAAGTTATCATTATGGTATTTACATACTTAGATAGTATGATTTATTAATTCAATGTTAATTCAAACACGTAATTCATGTGCGGTTATTATCAATATTAATTTAAACACACATTTATAAACGGTTATTGAATGTTTCAAGAATCAAATGAATAAAAAATAAAAACGCGCGTGCAGTTTAGTTCCGGAATGTAAATGCATACATTATTTTAAATTATCGTTATTCTTCTTATTTGTAAAATTGCTGGTCTGTAGTTTTTTTTCTCTTCATGTAAATAATATACAACAGATTATATCGCACTTAAGCATATCAAGTGTTAAAAAGCAAAATGTTAATTTTTCAATATTATCATCAATATGATAATAAATCATAATAAATAAGATAGATAATAAATAAATAGACAATATTATTTCTACATACTACATTATTACACACTACATTATTTTCGTTATTGTCGTCAATATTTCTTCCAATATCTATCATCTTATAGTTTCTTCGGTAATAGCATTATTCTGGAGGCTATGTTAAATATTCATGTCTGCGATCATCGATTTTGATTAGCAAGTTATTTTGATGCTCTTCGACAATATTGGAGATATTTTCGCACGTGAAAATCTATGTGGAAAAATGAAACTCACTTGCACCAAAATATGGCACGCCTGCGATGCGATTTGGAACAGTCCGTCTTGCAAGTTACGACCGGTGTGCTCGGAACTTCCGCCACCCCCGCCGCTACCACCCATTTTCCATCCAAAGAACGACATTTCGAATTGCATCCGATGTACCCGCGATCATTTAATGCACCAAGGCCGGAGCGGATAGCTCGTCGTCGATCGAACTCGCGTATTGTATGTGGAGATCGACGTCGTCCACGGCGTCACCGTTGTCCGACTTCTGTAGCATGTTCGACGTCCACATCGATATCTGTTGGAAAACAAGAGAAATGTCATCCATCTTATGACCATGAGGCACGTGTATGCGCCACACGCGGCATTGACTCCGCCGCGCGTTTAAAATTTAATACGCGCGGGGGTTGAGATAAGCTGTAACTGCAGAAGTTTTGCAATATCCTTGCTAATAATAACGCGCGTACTGCGCTGTTCTATTTTTATTTGTTCGCTGCTTTAAAGTTGAAATCGGTTTAGTAAGAGGTAAAATATGAGAAGAACAAATGTTTCCTCCGCAAATATTTGGAATAGTATTATATAAGAGCGTCGAGAGAAGAGTACTCAATCTTCATGTAATATTGGCGTGTTTGTTTTTCGGTCGAAAAATTAATAATAAATAAGATGTTAAAAATTTATTATTCATAACGCGTGCTTTGTATATTTATCTTCTGGTATTATAAAATTTAAACATATTTTTAGAGTCTAATCGGAATAAGTGGAAAGTAAAATAAATTATTTCCATTGAGAAAAAGACTTTTGCAGAAGAAAAAATTCCTTTATTATACTTCAAACTAGCGAGTTTCACAGTACAAGGGTTAAAACGAAAGAACCTCGCGTGTCTTTCGCCGCTAGTTCTCATTCTCGTCTGAGGTCAAACGAGAAACGAAGACAACCCCGCCATTAATTTGAATAAATAGAACACTCCCACCTATAACGCGCTGTTTGATTTAATTAGCGTTAACCCCGTTCTTTCTCTCGGTTAAAAATAAAACTCCCGTCTAAAGAAATAAGACAGCTCTCTCATCTCATAAATATAAATATATTACATAATCGATAAAAAAACGATTAGTGTTGCTTAGACTCGCGATATCCCGATGACTCGCTTCGCCTTAATCGACATTTGATTCACGGTCGCGCGTTTAAACCCGCGCCGCGGAAACGTACGCATTATTCTCTTTGTCTTTTTTTATCAAGATCAATTCGATCGGTCTGTCGCCGCGACGACGACGATAATGCACATGGCATGAGAATGACAAATACCTTCCAGCCGCAGAGGACGATCGAAAGGTCTCGCATATCGTGCCAAGCACCTGCGCAGAGGACGTCCTCGCGGCCTCGACACTTCCGATTGATAGAGTGATTTGATTAACTTATTCTCAATTTCTGTCATTCATCAAAAGGAATGTTTGCATATTTTTTACATTATTTTTTTTATGCAAGAGGCGGAATTAAGAGATAAAAATTATTTTATTATATTTCCTTGAAGCTTTTTTTGATATATCACTATATAATTATATTAACAATTAATTGAAAATTAAATGTGTTAAATTTGTTAAAAATGTTAAAAATGTGATATAAATAGATTTAAAGATTAAATATTTTTTTCTCACAATGACTTGCATCCTATTTAGACAGATAAAGTTAAAAAATAATGCAATACGCACTATATGTTATAAATTAACACATTAACGACGCTTTATGTATTCGATATATCTGATTGCGCTTGAAATACTTCATTCGCATGAGCGAATTATTAGCATCAAAAAATTATTTATTGACTCTTAAATTTCAAATTCGCTTACTTGCATAACTATGATTAATAAATAAAGCAATTGTCTTAATTACATATCCAACTTATATCAATATTTTTCTAATACGTGCGATGTATTTCCGTTAATTTGTTGTGTTAATTTTGATCTTTCTTTCACCATAATCTTTGTTGTGTTCAAAATAATCTGATCACAGAGCAAAGTGCTCATAAATATTAAATATTCATAAATAAATAATAATAAAATAATATTAGTTGCATCAATAACTAGTTTTGGCTTTTAAGTTCTGGTACATTTTAATTTTAGATTAAAAATAATTAAATCGTTACACCATTGATGTAATTTGGTAACAGAATAAAAATTTTAATAAGTTGATTTTAATAATTATATGTGCAATAATATTAGATTAATACAAAAGATTCGTCGTAATTTTCAATAAAATTAAAGATAGAATTACAGAATTTTAAATTTTTATTAATCAAAATAATTACCATTGACTTCAATAGAATTTTCTTATTTGGAAATAAGTGTTTACATCTGGTTTAACTGTAAGTCCAAGCCCCTAAAATTTATATATTCCAGAACATCGTTTTTTTTTATGGTTATTGAATTTGAGAATTTGTTCGTTATACCTTCATAAAAAAGCAACAAACTTTTTTTGCACCAATCTAATAAAACTAATAATTAACATAGTATACAAACTGGCGTGTTTATACCGATATCTCGAATACGTTTGATCGAATAGAAGACAATCGTAGCGGATTCGAGCGTGACGCGATGATACGAACGTAAGAAAGACGATAAGTAATAGAATTACGTAGTAAAAACGTGATTCAACGACGCAGTATGACGAAATCGGTCAGGATGTAAACCGTAGTCAGGAAGATCGACCGCACGCGCTCCGAAACAACGGTGACTGTTCGTTCGATCAGTCATCGCGCATATATGCGAGGAACGTCCGGCCGTGCATGCGCGCGGAGCATCTCTTGGCGAGTCGCGGCATGAGAATTCAGCGAGAATGAAATATTTTGTCGATATACGCCCTCGTTATCGATCACGTTGGAATGCCGCGCGTTCCCGCCCGCACGTATCCTCGCACGTGGTCTCCATGTCCTTCGATTCCAATAATGTCCGTCCCTTCATGGTATACTATTTTTTTGTACCGTCTTTCAGCTCGTAATTTCTTTCACTTTCCTTCCTTTCATCTCTCTTTTTTCAGACTTTTATCGTTTTTTTTATAGAAAAAAACCACCGTGTCCAATGGTGCTTTACATTGTCGGGTTGCGTCAAATACAATAGAATTGTCATGCAGGCAAAGCGAATCTCAGATACCGTTAGACTTTTTGGTCGCCCTCCCTATATTTTTCCGCTATTTTTGTTCCTTCTTTTCCGCTCGATGCCCGAATATACTTGCCCACTTAATACACGCTCACTTCGTTTGCTGAATGTGTAAGCAAGTGCAGTTAGAAAATCAGAGCTCAGCTAGGAAGCTGCAGGAATAAGACTTGGACGTAAGTTTATTATCAGTAATTCTTTATCGAACTCGGCTCTTTTATCGAAATGTCAAGTAACTGTTAATTAAGAACTATTCTACAATAGTTCGTTTTCAATTAACCGCACTTTGGAAAAGTGAAGCAAATATATATCTTTATTATTTTAGATCATCTTTATAATAAAATTGATTATCTAAATTTTTAACGAACGCATTCTCCAATTTTTTTAATTTCTAGTTTTTCCTATGTAAAAAATCAATGTACATCGCTTACTTTGTATTTTTCTTGCACCCTGATATTCGCGTTTATAGCCTGTTGTGATTCTTTTCACTTTATCACCGTTTTCGAACAGTTCTCTATTCTTTTATGTACACATAATAACATCGATTTCTGAAACATTTTCTATTAATTTTCCATCAACCAAAGATCTGTTTCTTTTCTTTAATTTTTTTTTTTACCCTTTGTTTGTGAAACATATGTCGAACTGTTCTTTTTCGCTGCAGCGAGCATCTCACACAGTTTACATCTGATCACGTCACGTTTAGACTCGAGAGCATCACAGATGTACTTGTACATACCTTTCACATATCGGAGCACATGCTTTATCGGCGTGAACACTCTTCCCGGCACCCGGACGTCGTTTCACTCGCGACAATAGGTTGCAGAATGCGCGAGGTTACATACATTTGTCGAGCACGCTGCTGCACTTGGTCGAATTCGATCGCAGCTGTATACTTGCTATCGACACAAATTGGAGCGACAAAATAGCACGATGCCGTCGGTAGTAGCATGTTGCTGTCACGATGGCGCTACCATGCAGATGAACGTTCCGCGTCGATCGGATCTATTTAATTGACAAATATTAATTATCAATATATACAAGTTTATTTCGGACATAAAAAGAACTTAACTCTATAAAAATATTATATAAAATAAATTCTTGCTTATTAGATAGTTAAAAATTTTTTAAGTATTATAATCCAAAATTAATGTTAGGTCTCAAATTATACATACAAGTCATATGATACGATGTTTAAAAATTTCTTTCTTCTAAATGGATTAACAATCAGTAAAATAAAGAAGTCGGGATTCTCTTCGGAGATTCGAAAGATGTCTTTTTCATTACTGCCCTCTCGAGTAACAACGCGCAACAAAGTGTTCAGTTGGACACGTCGAGACTTGGAACACGATTCCTTTCATTTATACTGAACACCGCTTACCGTTGTAAAATTTAGTTAAACAATTGACTCCGAGTTTTGAATTGACTTCATAAGGTGATTAATAAGAAAACAAAAATTATGCGTTTGTTCTTTGCACTTTTTCATCTCCTAATTCGAGAAATCAAAATTTTCAAAATCATATGTGATTAAACTAATAAAGAAAAAAGTAAAGTAATTTAATTTTTGAAAGAAAGATAATATCCTAGCAAATAAAACGTAAGCAATGTAAGCAAGCAGTTTATAGCATTGTTAATAGCATTTTTGAACTTTAACATTTTAACGAAAGCGGCGAATGAACAGTAAACAAGCAGTAAAACAAGTAATAAAAAAACAGACAAGAACAAGCTAGAACAAACTAGAACCATTATTAAAATACTTCGAGGACATTTCAGAGTGCGGCAAATTTGGAAAATTCTGATTCTATTGTATTAGAAGATAGAAAAATGCGATGGACAAAGGCGCGAAGTGGAAGAACGGAGCAGAACGGAGCAGAGCGGAGCTGTCCGGTCACGGCATCTAGCGGCGCTGTTCTCCCCCTCTCGCCCTTCCAAACCCCTCGTTCGTCTATGCACGTCTGACGACGCCATTGTGTTACCCTGCCTCGTTGTGTACCGCTCCACCGCCGCCGGAGGAACGACGACGTCGACGACGACGACAACGACGCACGGGCGTACCGTGGCGTCAGCAAACTCATTCGTCGTTCGTGCGAAGTAGCCGGTCGAGTTGTCATCGCGAGACGACAAGTGCGCTGCGTATTAGTGTCGCATTCGCGTTCGCCACACTCGCGAGCTCGCTTCGTTACGCTCTCGTGCATTTTACGGCGCCGTCGAAACACCTCGTCGAGAGGGTGCGAGCGAGACAGAAGGGGGAGAGAAAGAGAGATAAGAGAAGAGAGAAAGAGAGTAGCGCCCTGGCCGCTCGCGGAGGATCGCCCTGTACGAGATACCCTTCTGTCACTTTCGTGCAAAAGCCAGCACGAATCGCGCGGCGGCGTCCCGACCGATGCCCCGTCGACGGATTCAACCCGGTGACGGCGCTGCCGTGTCGTGCGTTCAGTGTTAGTGCATCATGTGATTGCTTCCCCCGGGTGCTCTCTACGCCACGGTGACGGATATCAGCGTGAAGGTTAGTCGCCAGATTTTCTTCCTTGCGTCCTGCCGAGCGCGGCTTCGATCGCGACTCTAATAACGTCGGATTTGCCCGTTAGAGCCGGTCGCAACGATTGTGTGATGATGGGTCTCCACCTCTAGCTGGCAATTGCCCTTTTTTGATTGCATCTCTCATTAGCGTATATAGATCCTATTTAGCTCCACTTTTCTGCACTGTCTGCGAATGAAATTAATACGTTATTGTGTTTTAAAGAGAGAAGGAAATGAAGAGCAGAGATATAGCTTAAAAATTTACGCATAAAATGTACCTTTTTATCACGGATACTTTGTTTTTTTTCCACTTCAAATAATTCCAATTTAGCTAGTTTACGAAACATATTGTCACTAGATAATAGTTTCCAGCTGTAACATAGAGAGAAATATTCAGTTGAGCAAGAGTTGCGTTAGTAGAAATGTTGAAATAAATGATAATTCAAGCTTTGTATGAGATGCACACGCTGATTTTGAAATGCAGATTTTGCCATCAACAAATTTACGACTCTGAAAAGAATAATGTGATTATTTGTCTGTTGAGTAATTCATCAATAGTGTGACATTTATGAGTGTAATTCTAACGCGTGTGAATATAATTTCAATGCTAAGCAGAATATTGGTGCTATTAATTAAGGAAATATAATAAGTCATGTTCAGTTAAAGTTAATATCTATCTTTTTAGCAACATTTACGTTTTCTACATTTTAAATGAAATGAGTATATAAGATGTCACTTCTCATAATTTGATTCACGAAATCATTGATCGATTTTTTGAATAGACGCTGTAATGTGATTGTCTTTGATATTTCTTTAAATTAAAACGTCAAGGCACTAATAATTTCAATATTAAAAATTATTGAAGAACCTAGAGAAAATTATACGAATTGATTCGTGATAAAAATGGTTGATAAAATTTCATTTTTTTCTTTGTTTAATGTTAAATAAATGTTCTCTTTACTCAGTTTTAATATATTACAAAGATGCTTAACAAATATTAAAAAATTATGGAAGAAAGATGTTTGCACAAAGTTTCATTAAAAAAAAAAATAGTCTGATTTTATAAAAAGCATAAAAAGCGAAAATAAGGAAGAAAAAATTATAGTGAAAGATAGAGAACGTATTTAAAAGGAATCGATTCGAAAGAACATAATTATCGAATCTACTAATTGATAAATTTGATCTTTTCATTGGCACCTTTTTACGCCTTTCGGCTTTTAAAAAGAAAATAGACATTCACACTTTGGGCAAGAAGGAAGCTGAAGTGTAACCAAAAAGGACAGACCTAACGTCAGTGCAAACGACATGGGGTTGATCAGCTGTATCGATCGCTTTGATTGGCTATTCAATCGGCTAGCGATATCCTCTTCCATTACACACAATCCTGCGTCGTACAATTGTAGCCATAATAAAGATACAGATGAGAGATTAAAGGCTAACCGACGTCGGTGCAACCGGCTCGACTCCGCGGTTGCCTTTTGTCCTGTTCGGGATAGTAGCCGACGGTTTTCCCTTCCTAACTTGTTCCTGAGTCATTCTTGGGGCTATCCAGACGTACCTGAGATCATCGAGTAGCTTCGTCCTGCGGTATTCTTTTTATTGCATTCTCGCGGAGCCCCGATGAATTAAGACTGATTGCAAAAGTAATTTTAATGCAGACGCCTCTTGCGATTCTCTTTCGGTTTAAATATCTGCAAAAAAAAAATTCAATACGCTGTTTTACGAAGCTCGCTGTTAACATTGTTATTTATTAAAATGATATCATTGAATCGATATAAGCAGCGAACGATTTAAGCGTATTTTATTTTTCTGAAAGCTCGTTACGACATATTATTTTAATATCTAAAGCTTATTAGAGTTATAAAACACAGTTGTCCGTACGATACTGTGTGGACTTTAATCAAGTAATTCCAACTGTGTGGTGTAATTAAGTAAGAGCAAATTAATTAGTAACTAATCAAGCAATTCCACAGTTGGAATTACTTGATTAAACTCTACGTAACATCGGGCGGACAACCGCGTTTTATAGCTCTAACAGGCCTTACATATTGACATTTTCAAAGAATTGTTCTCCCGCCTCATTATTGGGAATATTATTTACATTGTTACGATCATTATTTGGTTTATTGTATTAATTAATTCATATTGAAATTTCTATTATTATCAATATTTGAATTATCTGATTAGTTGATTTATGTCGTAATTGCTATTTCTATTAATATTCGGAGCATACTTTCAAATGTAATTTAGCGAAACGCACGTCGATATGAGTATAGTATGCTACACAAAAATGTGAATGCCAAAGTTCATCATCGATCACTCCTTAATTGGAATCTAATGCGACCGTGACTTGGAAGACCATTTCGATATGATAAATGATCACTACTACCGTTCTTAGAAACGAAACTTCGATTCGCATATACGTATACGCTGAATAGTAAACGCGCGCATAATGGCAGGCGACCGCGTATTTTAGGCGATTGAGCGATTTTAATGAAAGAATGTGTCTTTTCGGACAATGCGAAGCCAGACGCGTCTCGTTCGTCATTCGGGACACATAAGACTCCTCACTGAACGCCGTTATCATCGACTCCGAATCACATTACAGCCGTGAATCACGGTATGATAAAAGCGAACGGATGATATTCCACCTGAGATAAACGCGGGCATTACGTCAGTAAGAAACTGGAGCGACGGTCTGATATTTATTTTATTCTTTATTTATTCAGCGCCGAGCCGCGGCAACCTTAGAGATCAATAACCGGATCACATTTAAGATAAATAACAGTGCAACGTATACTTGTCTCGTCGGGGCAGAAGGAAATTCGACCCGCGTGTATTCACGTATCGCGAAAGGTATACATATCTCGAAGAGATTATTCGTCTTATGCTGCAATATCTGTACGATGAA